GCAAAGAATATCATCCTTTTATCTACCCCCTCTCCACTCACTCCCACCTCCTCAGTCCCATTATGCTTCTTTCCTTTTGACTTAGTAGCCAACAACAGAATTGATTTTGAAAAGACAAACTTGGGTAGTTTTCTGCAACAGGATTTCTGGTTTCCATCTCTGCTGGTTGACAGCCCCCAAGTGTTTTTCTGTCATCATCTGAGACTATGAAATGCTGAGTAGTTGTCAATGAGGTGACACCTTTTTTTCTAGGCCTAATGGCCTGTTTATCTAACCATGGTTCACATTTGGGAACTGTAAGCAAATAATATAATAGAATAGCAGATAAAGCTAAAGACCATATGCAAGTTTAAAGTTAAGTAAACACAATTTTGATGTGTTAAGATGGATTGCAGCCAACTTCTAACAATCTTCACAGTTTCTACTTGTTTACCCACACATGAGCTCATCTGATTTTTGCAACAAACTGGAGGTACTTCAGTTGTGAATAGTAATTATACCTGTTTCACAGCTGAGGAGACTGAGGCCCAGAGAAGTTAAAATTTTCCTAAGACCACAATTCTAAGCAGCTAAGTCTATATTTAGAGCTAAGTTTTATGACTCCAGAACCCATTTTCCTTTTATTATGTCTCACTTCCTTCAACTAAATATATAAACCATTACATTAGAGACAGACCTTCAAAACAACAAACATTTCTCTGGTTTTTAAAAAGCTTTTAGCAGCTGCAGAGAACAACAAAGTCTGGCAATCTAGGCAAAAGAGCAGACAGATTCTGGGCCCTGTCATTTTATAACTAAAAATCCCTGTTTCATTCTTGAAGTTGACCTTACTGTCATGAAACTTCCCAGTTGGTATGTTCAATTTATGCTATGTAATTAAGGAAATGTGAGTCCTTGGACATCAAGTGAAAAATCCATCGTCTACATATTTCACAGCTGAGGGGGCTACAAAATACAGCAAAACAACATTTTATTTTACTTGCTAAACCACATATCTAGGTGTCTGTCCATCTCCTATCCAACCTGCATTTTTCTGAAGTTTCAGGTATCAGTAAACTACCCCTAAGTTTGTGCATATTATTAACTAGAGTTCGATATTTGTTTCTCATTTTCTTTAGCTCACATTTAATCCAATGCCCAAATCTTAAGTGTACCTTTCAGTACGTTATGCCAAATATTTACATCCAGGTAATTCATACCTCTAGCTAGATTTGGAATATTACTCTCATGCCCAGTCAGATCTCTCTCCACCGTTGGTCTAATATCTGTCCCTGTTGCTTTGTCTCATCTGCTCTGGAACTTCTTGTAAATGGAGTCTTATGGTATCTAGTCTGTATATTTTCTACTTTGAGACCATGTTTTTGAGACTATTTCATGTTGTTTTGGGTGTCAGGAGTTTACTCCTTTTAATTGCTGGATATTAGTTTATTGGAGGAATGTACTAGGTTCTTTATTCACTTTTCTTCTAATAGACAGTCCAGCTGGACTGTTGCCAGTTTTTGGTTATTCTAAATAAAACTACTATGAACATTCTTAAAGAGGACTTTTTGTGTATTATTTTTCATGTCTTTGACATGAATACCTAGGAATGGAATTGCCAGGTCATAGGGGTAAGTATATGTTTAGTTTCATAAGAACTTCCAGAATTTTTTTCATAGGAGTTGTACCATTTTAACTCCCACCGGGAATGCATGAGAGTCTACCAATAATTGGTATTATCAGTCTTTTTAATTTTAGCCATTCTAGTGGGTACTCATCATACTACTTTTTGAATTAAAAATAAGAGTACCACAATGAAAAGCATTTCCATGATCAAGTGGCAACTAGGCAGTATCTGTCTTCATGGCTCCCTATTACCACATCAGTTCAGGTTTGCTAAACCATATGATTAAGTCATTAAATCCTGATTCTCATCCTTTAAGAGGTTGGTTGAAAGATTCATAATTTGGCAGTTATTTTTAATGTTTTTGGCTTCAACTTCAACTCTAAATTGCTGAAGTTGATTTGGGGGATATTTTTTCTGTTATTATTAAGGTTTTCAAATTACTCAAAATAATCAAGTTAGCTCTTGACTTATGCTCAGTAGAAAAAAATAATCACCTCCTTGTCACTACCTCATAAAATTTCTTTGACTGAATTGAATGATCATCAGCTCAGGGACAACTCTCATAGACCTAAACTTGATTAATAGGAGTGAATCATTCTAGACCAAGCATGCCATGTGTGGTAAAGTGACCTCCAAGATAAGTTGCTCCCATTTCCTGGAGAAAGTCCATAGGTCTAGTTTTGTTTTAATGTAAATGTTTCTTCCATAGGCCCATAACTTATCCCTAGGAGGTTTCAATTTTTAAACTGCTGTTTTCTTGGCCTTTCTGCTATTCTCCATGCTCTGACACTTACTCATTTGTTATGAAAATAACCTAAATGTTCTTGCTTCTCAAAAATGTATTTCAACCCACTGCTTATAACATTAGACATATTATAATTCATTTGGACATTGGCCTTTTAATGAACTTTTGGTAACCTGATCAAGGCATTGTGAAACACAAACATAAAAGACATCTTAACTTTTCACTGCTCTTTAACTAGCTCCTTTTTCTCAATTTTCCAAGATATTAAAGGATAATATATGAGTGGATACATGACTTTTTAACTAGAACACTTATAAGGCAACATTAGCACAAGTAAATTTTCACTAGGCAGATTTTATTTCTGATAGAACATATTGAGTTGTTTCCCATAACATTTATGAAGGACATAATGCTTCCATAGCTTCCAGAATCTCCACTGGCTACAGAGGCATTGGGAGATGGCACCAAGAAATTGTTAAGAATTAGGAATTAATCTCTGTTCTGACTTGCCTTTTTTTCAGAAGCATTTAATACATAATTTTCTCTCTGTCTAGCTGTAAAATAATAAATAAAATATTCTGGCTCTTAAGATATGTTAATATGGTTGTCATTTGTTTAAATTACATAAAATGTCATCTATATATGAATTTTGCATATTTTGGGAACTAAGCCACTAGGCACATATTTTGTACTTCTGAAAATAAGTATACTCCATGGTTTGGAATGACACTGCACTGGCTAATTGTCCCACTCATCAAATGTACAATACATACAACAGATTTATTATAGGTTTGAAAAATCTGCATATGAGCCACCAGAGCCCATGTTATGTGTGGGCGAAAACAGACAGCTATGATTGGGATGATGAAGAAGCAGTACAGAGAAGACCTGCCTGCTTAAAATATTTTCTCTCTAGCTGCCTTTGGGATAAGACACATTCTTCAAATGTTTCTATCAAAATCAATGTATTAGCAGGTTCTAGATCAGCATTTTTTTTTTATTAAATGAACCATTAATGCCAATTATTTCTTCAGAGCCCAGCAGTGCCAAGAAAGAGTGTCATTTTGAAAGGTCAAAGATGAGATGAAATGAGTGATGTGTGTGTGTGTGTGTGTGTGTGTGTGTGTGTGAGAGAGAGAGAGAGAGAGAGAGAGAGAAAGGGTGGAGGGTGGATAGAGGAATTCCAAGGATCTTGAGATAGCATGAGGGTAAAAGGTACCTGTGGGGGAAGTTCTCAAAGAAAATCTAGGACTTTTGCCAAGATTCTCTTGCTTCCAATGTTGGCCTAGGGCTGGAGCCATGAGACTCAAATGAGAAAGTAAGGTAGTTTTTATTTCTCAGATAAAACAAAATTTTGCATGTAAACTCTTTTAGGCATTTTGTTCTATTGGGCAAAAGAAAGACACAGAATGACTGTGCAGCTATCACTGTACAAAGACAAAGAATGTTGCATTTTTCTGTGTTCTATAAGCCATTTAGTTAAATAAAATGGCTCATCTACTAAATAAGTGTTGAAAATGATCACTAAGAATTATTATGATTATAATGATAGTTATCAAGGTAAAGGACTGTATAAGTATAAATTCTTTTTACTGTGATTCCAGAACTTAAATAAAAATGAAGCCACCACCTTTTCTATTAATTACTCCTGACATTTACCACTGACCCACTTTACAAATGAATCAAATCCAAATGCCACATTGTTTAATCAGATTTCATTGCATTTTAAATGAACGGTGATGAAATAAAAATAACACATCAGGACGTTTGACAGTTCACTTTTAGACTTCTTCCATTTCTAATCTATTGCTAAACTTCATCCCTTTTTATTTAGTTTGCCTTATCCAACACATGCTATTTTAGTTGCATATAAAATAGTTTTATCGACAATTAGTTTCTCTCCCCTTAATCAAAAAAATTAAAGTGATCATTCCTTCTTTTATCATATTCACACATACATGCTTTGTCATGATTAATTGAGAAAGGCTCAAGGACTTTAGAATACATTTAGAGCACAAGTACAATGTTTCTTTAACTTAATTAAACACAATTATTAGAATTTTATTACTCTATTTTTTAAAAATTTGTATTTTCATTAAAAACATTTGGTCTTTTATAAACTAACCACATAAAATAATAAAGAATATTGTTTACACTGACAAAAATGGCCCTGGTAAAAATAATTTGTATCCTGGCTCACTAATCATATTATGCTGGGGTCTTAATCCTAAACTACCTTCTAACTTGTGATTGAATAGCTCTTCATTAGTTTCTCTAAAAATCAGAGTTTTTAATATCTCCTGGCAGGATAGGATATTCTTATGATTTAAATTAGATTTAGGAAATTTGTTCCAACAATTTAATTGAAAATATTTGTTATTTTCAAATACTTAAAACATTTATGGTTTGATGCTTCTAGCAGAAATCTGCTGCTGATGGGGGAAAAAACTGAGAGCTGTAGGTCAGAAAGATACTTATGTAAGAACTGTGACATTGGCCACTGACTTAAAAGCAGGAAGTCCTACATTTTAGACTCAAGGTTTTAAGGAATCTTTTTATTGAGCATTTTCCCCTCTCGGAGCTGAGACAAATGGCTGATGAGGGAAATCTGGAGAATGCTCACAGCTTTTCTCTTTCATTCTGTTGCAGCCCAGAAGATGGTGAGATCCATCCAGAAATATGTCGACTTTATATCCAGCTGCAGTGCTGCTTAGAAATGTACACTACAGAGATGCTAAAATCCATATGTCTACTGGGGTCTCTTCAGTTTCATCGAAAAGGTATCTGCATTTAATATACTGCCATAGAAACTGAGGAAAGTTAAACAAAAGATCATCTTTTGCAAAGTGCCTTCTGTTGTATATGTCTATAAACAATTAGAATGGATATAGATATTTGAGACATGTATGATATAAATTAATAAAAGACATCTCTATCAGGACTATCTAAATGCATTGCACACTAATCGTCTTGAACAGAAATTGCGGTAGAAACAGTTCTAAATTAATTATCTCACCACTTGTGACTGGTTAGAATTGGCATAAGCAGCAAAAATACATAATTAATTTACAAGGCTGCTATTTTTCTAAATGAATTAGGTTGTAAGAAGACAAATTACGTACTGTGTCCTAAAGATTTAAAAATAGGAGAAACTCAACAAATAATAAAACTCCTCTTCGCTGGCTTATTTTCTGAAGGAAATATGTTGGCTCAAATGACTGAAGCCTCCAGAGGTGACAAAAAATTAAGAGCTGTAAGTCAGAAGGACACTTATGTAAGAACTGTGACATTGGCCACTGGTTGATCAGATTTCTGGCTCCCATTCTGAGGCTCTACCTTCTCCTGGGTGTTGGCGTTCCCCTCAGACTGCCTTCCCTGCATTGAGCAAACTGATTCCAACAGTTCCAGTCATCATATCTGCACACCACAGGATCCATAAAGAGAGAATTCTCACATTATAGATGAGCGAACGTCCTGAGCTCCATGCTGATTATACCAGGTCAGACGACAGGTCTCCACCTGAATCAACCACTGTAATAGAGGGATGGAATTACACTGATTGATTTAGGCAGTCAAGGCCCATTATTAGAGGCCAGAGAGGAGTCAGCCTCATCCAACCAGTGGCTTTTTCATGATAGGAAAAGTGGAATATGATGGATGCCGGGGAGGAAGCCAAAACTGTCCTGTACTGGAGGGCTCAACCTGCATATGCCTTAGTAATTCATTGATGGTAATTTTGGGGGAACTGCCTGAATGCAAACCTCTTGCTCTTGAGTTCAGGAGAATGAGGGTGGTGCATGGACAGTAATCCCTGCATATGATTTAAATTCAGAGATAGAAAAAGTCAGTAAACTCTAATACTTAAGGAAAATCTTGTAAAAAGTGGAACTTGAGCTAGGCTGTGAAGATTAGGCTCAGTGGGGAAAGTAAAAGAATGACCAATGAGGCGAAGAACCAGTAAGAGATTTGAAATGAAATGAGCATGCAGTTCAAAGGAACTAAATGACATGACAAAGTGCTTATAAAAATCAAATCCTTCCCCCAAAAAATAAAAATAGAAATGCCATGTGATCCAGCAATACCACTTCTAGATATTTATTCAAAGAATATGGAAATATTAATTTGAAAAAATATGTATACCCCTATTTTCATAGACGCATTATCCATAATAACCAAGATGTGGAAACAACCCAAATGACCATTAGCAGATGATGGGATAAAACTGTGGAATATATACTCAATGAAATACTATTCATCTGTTAAAAAGATGAAATCTTACCTTTTGCAACAACATGGATGCAACTTGAGATGATCACATTAAACAGAGTAAGTCAGAAAATGAAAGATAATTACTGAACACTTTCTTAAGTGAAATAACCAAAGCAAACTAACAAAAGACAACAAAAATAACTCTTAGACTGGAGAGTTACTAGAGGGGAAGAGGGTGGGAAGAAAAGGCATAAGGGGTCAATTTGATAGAGACACTAGAACTTCATGGTGAGGGTGATGGAGCATAAACACATATCAATGTGTGATGCTGCACTCCCCAAATTTGAACAGCATTATAGGTCAATGATAAATCAATAAAATGCTATATTTAAAAATCACATTTTATGTACAGCTATATGCATGCATACAGCAGAACTAAACATAAGAGTATGCTGCCTTGTTCCAAAGAGAGAACATTTTCTCAATATGTGAATTTATTCTTTTCCACTTTTCTTTGTAAAGGCTGACCTTTCAAAGGTTTCCGTCTTTACCTCTGTTATTAATACAAGTGAACATGTTTGGAGAGATTAACTTCTTGACACTCCTAATGCCTGATCAGAAAATTGGATATGCAGACAAACTGATGACATCCCAACAGGTTGTCATTGGTTCCCTACTTCTTGTCCATCAGCCCCCCATACACACACACACACACGGTCACACGTAAATACGGATTTGAATAGCATTTTCATTCTTCTCAATTATGGTAAGATAGGCTGGGTATGTTTAGATTGTCTGTGCAGACCCGGGGTCTGTACTGGTTATACCTACAGTATTTCATATCCATGTCATTAAAATCCACCTTGTTGATGATCTGACCTGAGTGCCCAGTGACCTCCACTCCCATCCCTTCTCTAGCTCCACAGTTTGCCACCTCACCTCCATATGCCACCCAGTCCTACTTGTCAGCTTTCCACAGTTGACTTGTGAAGGGAAACCTCTTCTGCTACCTATCTATTTAAAAATAAGAGAGATTCTCCCATGCTGATTTCTTTCTTATTGTGTTTGGTCTTGACCACACAGATAAAAAACACATTTCTTCTTTACTGATCTGCTAAGTTAATTTTCACTGCCTTTTGTTTTCATTGCCAGTCTCTGATCTGCTTTTTCCCTGGTACGTTTTTAAAACAATAACTCTCCACTTTCTGCTCTAGCACCTAACTTTCTATGTCCAAAAAAAAAAAAAAAAAAAAAAAAACTTGAAAAGAATTTATTTAAAAAGAACACACCTGATAGCATATTTGATGATAAACCCCCATGTAACATTAAGTCTCCACTGGATCTTATTCTTCTAAAATCATTGTTAAAGTGCTACTGTAGAAAATCTACTTCAATATTACAGGATTCTGGATAAAAATGCTGACTCTAGGATTCTGTCCAGAATCTCCTGAAATGGGACACTTCAGGTTATTGTGAAATAAAATTAATATTGAGAACTCTTCTGCCTTTTGAAACAAAAGCAAAGAGTGGACATGGCAAGAAACCAGTCCCTTTTCCTCAGGAAATATAGGTTGGGAAGAGGATGAGGTGTAGGGAGTAAGAGGAGGGATAGAGAGCTGTAAGTCTACAGAGATATGTATATATCTGTATCTATATTTTTTAAGTCATGTCTTAGCATAAAGGACCACATATCCACTGGGGAAAAAAGTCTGTCAATAAAGATTTAAGATATCAGACATTTTTGCAAGATAATATCCTCTATCAAAAGGGGATATCTCTGGGCCTCCCTTGGTGGCTCAGCGGTTGGGCGCTGGGCCGCAAGGCTGCCCGCAGCCTCTGCAGCACCGATTCGTTCCCCGGCCGCCCACGAGGGTCCCACAAAAAAAAAAGGGGGGGATATCTCTGATGCGGCTTCAGACTAGGGATGGGGCCTGCCTATCTGGATAAACTAAGTCCCTTTGCTTAAGAAATCAATGCATTTCCAATTACCTCATGTCATAAATCTTTGTTTTCTATCCATTCATTCATTCCAAACATATATTAGCCAACTACTCTATGGTATTAGTCATCCTTGAATTCTACTGTTCTAAACTCCAAATCTAACAATGTACAATTCATGTGTTATTAGTGTCACGCTATCTCTTTAATCTTCTGCACATGTCTACTTAACTTAAGCTCTAACTTACATTACCACAGATACCCCCGTCTTCCACCTCAAAAGAAAAATGAAACCAGCTAGTCCTGAGCCTTAGAGGAATAGTAACTCCCATTCTAGTCTGATAACCCTTGAAGTTTCTTTCTGCTTAGTATCAATCTCTGTTATGTTTTCATTAATATTACATAAAAATTAGTATTTTCATAATATTTAGGTTAGCTAATTTCTTTTCCTTCTGTGTGAGTGTTATAGACTGGCCATTCCCCTCGTCTTTATTATTTCTTTTTCATCAAGAAAAGGAAAGGAATTATAATCAAGTCGTTAGGTTTGGTTCTATATGAATCTTTTTTTTTTTCTCCCTCGCCAGCGGCCGGGGGAACGAACCGGGGCCGCAGAGGCTGCGGGCAACCTCGCGGCCCAGCGCTCAACCACTGCGCCACCAGGGGAGGCCCTATATGAATCTTTTTTTATTTTTTTTATTTTTATTTCTACAAGAACCAGGGTATAGGCCAGATACGTGGGAGAGTGAGAGGATTCACCAGAGACAGAGCGGGGTACAGAACAGACAGACTGACGAAATACACTACTGAGGGGAGCAGCGGGCATGACAGGAGAGGTCTGCAGCGCCATGTGGGACCCTCGCTGGCCAGCCGGAATCAAACAGGCGCTGCAGAGGCTGCGGGCAGCTTCACAGCTCTGCACTCAACCGCCTGCGCCACCAGGGGAGGCCCTCTATATGAGTCTTTAGTCAGTTTTTTGTTGAGATGAGAGACTGAAGCCAAATTGTATCACAGTTATCTCTACTTTTAATTTATTTTTGTTTCTAATCACCTTTCTGGCTGAAGCCACAAGTCCAGCAAAAATTGTATATTACCTTTAGTTTTACTGTGGTATTGAGTAGTTGTGAGCTTCCTCGAAAAAAAGACACAGAAGGTCATCACAGGGGTGAAGACCATGTCTTCTTTCTGGGAAAAAAATAAGCCTCAAATCATTTTAAAGCTCCCATGGTGAGCTTGAATTTAGTAATGAAGATTGTCCTTCTCTCCCAATTAAGCAAACTGTGAGTATCTTTAGGCCTTAACAACATCTTTAGTGGATCTTCATGTTTCTTCACTGCTCTGGGCTGTTGAAATTTTGCTGTCTCATAAGTCTGATTGGTACAATCTACTTGGAAATTGTTTATACTTTACAAGAACATGCTATTGCCAAAGAAATGAAGAAAAACAGTACTAAAATTATTTTATTTTTTCATGGCCAACAAAATTAAAGTGAATTACTGTGATGTGAGGTAAAATTCACGTTTAATAAAGGCTATTGGGTTATATACCATGTAGAAGTAATTCTAAAAAATTGTGTTTATTTTAAGAAGATGATAGATGGGTATAATTTTAGTCATTTTGTTGTTTCATCTGCTAA